TGTCTGGTAATGGGACAATATGTTGCATTATTTATCAATGTGAATGAGAGAGAAGATAAAAAATTGCTGGTCCAGAGGCTCTTTCTGTAGAGCAGATCTATATTCCCCCACTTTAAAGAAAAGGTGAAAGTAAATAAACAGGTTGCTTTGGAACCACATTAAGTCAAGCTTTTCTGTGTCTGGTGAGTGCATCGTATCTTGTAATAATAGGTTGTTGTGTTCTGTAGGAGAACAGTGTATTGCCAGCATAAAATGTAAAGTTCAGAGTCAACTGGAGGTTGACAGTTGGATTTCTGTTCTAAAAACCCACATATGAACTGTACAGCGACTGCAGTCATTAGGCATGTGATTACTTGAGCTGCGCTGCTGCTGGAGGTGGGAGGGAGCTCAAGCTGGCTTTCCAAAGTACCTTTAAGCTGATCTAGGTGATAGTTACCATCAAAAGAGGTGATTACACTCTGTCCCTGCAAACACACACCTACCTTGAGGTGTGTATTCTTCCTGTTTCTTGTCTGCATGTGTGAGCTGCATGAGGGAGCTGTTTTCACCAAGCAGATATTCCTGGGAAGATCACTGGCTCCCCATTCTTTTGCTCCTGGCTATGAGGTCCTGCCTTTCTTCCCTGATGCTCATCCAACACTTTGCTCAATCAGTTTAACTAATTATTCAACAGCAGGTAACTTCTGCTACTGTCACAACTTTTGCAGGTTTTAGAAACTTGGATCAGCTTATGGAAGACACTGGCAGAGAGCACTGGAACTAACACAGGTGAGAGTAGTGGGAGCTGGTGTTCCCCACAGAGCATTGGCATGCCTGTCTTCAATGCCATTTCTTTAAGTCCAACTGTGAATCCCCAAATTCCCACTCAAGCTCAGGTATTTTTAGAGCCTTGTAAAAGGCATAAGCCTTCTGAAGCTTAATTCTGCAAGCAGGAGGTATAAGCAAGCATACGTATTCGTCCTAATTGTTCATTTGCACCAAGTTCTACAGGGATAGTTTTTTCTACAGACAGTATAAACCATAAAAGAACACTGGTGCCCTTCTGCAACTTATCTTGTCCAACAGTTGAGGTGAAATTTCCATCAAGATGCCTTAATTAACAGATGTATTTGGTGTCTGAATGGGAACAAGATGCTCATGCTCCCATTCAAGTCTGAAGAGTAGAGAGCCCTAATCAGCTTACCTAAAGCAGACACCTGTATCTGGTCAGCTAAGCGGCTCTTTAGATTAACAGCTATATCGGTAATTTAGACCTACCTGGCACAAAGATGTTTACATTCCTAGAGCTGTTTTCTTCTACTGTGGATCAATTCAACTGCCAAAACGTGGTCATCTACCATCATTCCGGCTTTTAGATAAGACAGAATGAATGCACCCTGTGCTGTTCTAGACCAGCCCCTGGAAGCCTGATTACATGACTTTGATGGGACTTGATGACTGTGTAGAGGAACTGAAGACCTTATTCCCTTGGGAGGAAATGGCTTACCCTTGTCTAGTTGGATTCCTCCAACAGCTCCCTCCCTACCTCTAGTGAGACACGAGAGGCAATAGTACATTACTAAGTTAAGTTACACACTGGGAGACGTTCAAGATACGTCATTTTCCACAGAGACAGAATATTTGACATACTGCTAGGTTTTAACTATCACTGCGAGAAACTATCAAGGTTTGTCAGAGTATCTGATTTGTGGATTGAACTATAGGTGTAAATCTTGAACTACTGTGGCTTGTTTACTTGCAACCACAGCCTGTTCCAGCCAAAGGTAAACTGGTCTGCTAAATTAGTAACACATGCCTTGGCCAGTTGTGGGTACAGCATGTCCTGTCTCCATCTATAAATTTAGGCCGTGTTTCTATTTTTAACAGTATCCATATCAATGAGTGAAAACACTGATCTCATTAGGCATTGCTTCTATTCCGAGGAAGGCTGCATTCTACTTTATTCAATGACAAATACTTGATGTCTCCTAGTAAAATATCTATTTTCCATAAAATAAAAAAAATCTAATAAATTACGTGCAATAAAACACACTGTGTGAGGACAGATCAATGACAATACATTTATTAAACTTTGAGAAAAACAAACAAAACACTGACATAAGGGAAGTTAAATAGAAACTGAAAGACACATCTTCTGACCGGCGTATAATGGCTTGTGTGACCAATAAAGTACCAAAATGACATTCTGAGGTTGACTGAGGTATTTAACTATTTTTGGCAATAGAAACAGAGTAAGAAACTTCTTCCAAACACACACATAGGCATTACTTGCATTAGTGTCTATCATCTATGAAATTTTATATGAAAGTAAATAACGTAGCTGTTAGAAAAATATAGCAGCAAATTAGCAGACTATCTAATGCACATTTACCATAAAGTACGTGCTAAACTTAAAAACCCCACCCAATGGCTGGGCCCAGTCCTGTAGCGGTTGGTCACAAAGAGAGCATCAGTGGGTTCAGTGGGAGACATCATGAGCAAGACCTGCATGTGCTGCACTTCATACACTTCTGTTTGGGTTAGGGAAAGGAAATGAATGACCTTACTTACTTTCTAAGAAGAACCCTGCTATGATGAAGATACGGACTAGGAAGGCAACTTCTGAAGCAGTAATAGCTCATTGCAAAGCTCCATCAAGTTCTTTGGAAACACAAGAACAACGGGAGTTTTCCCACTGAGTTTCAGTTTTCTTTCCTTCTGCAAGGCTGCCTAACGCTGTCAGAGGAGATGCAGTTAGGCTGCAAAAACAAACATTTTGAACAATACTGTATTCAATCCCCTTGTTCCACTGAAGTATTTTAATCCTGCTGTATCTTGAAAAATAACTGCTGGCTAACTCCTAACGTCCTAATTTATTTTTTAAATCAAGACTTTATGTGGCACAAACTGGTAAATGTAGTGATACCTTTGGCTGTAGTAGGGGTTCACAAGTTGCTCAAACGTGAAGAGGTTATGCTGCTAAGTTACTGGAGCTTATTCATGTATTCTCAAAAATTTTCAGTGAAAATACAGTTGCACACTGCTTAATGCAGTGGTCAACAAAATTTTGCTTATAAAAAGGTATATTAGTAGCATTAATCAGAATCTGATGAACAGAATAATTTGCCCACATATTTTGTGTACTTCAAAGTTTTCTATAAAACTTTAAATTGAATGTGTATTTCTATCTTAGTTCTAAGAAAGTAATAGAATCAGTTACTATGTTTCTACAATAGTTCAAAATTTCTCTAAAGATTTCTTTGGAGGTATAAAATGGCTCTGTAAAAATCTGTTTTTTCTTTTTTTGCTGCAAAGAAAACTTTTATGAAACAGAAAACTCCTTAAGATTGCAGCAATTGCATTCCTTAGATGGGCTATCATAATCGGATTACAGTGTGTAGTGTAATAGAAAACATTTGTTTTTATGACTAAAATATTAAAATATATTTTATTAATTTATATAAATCAAAATAGATGTCTTATTTACTCAAGCTATTCTTGTTTTTTTCACCTGTATGTTCAGTTCCCAATTACTGATATAAAGATCTCTGCCAACAGCATGGTTTTTACTAAATTCTTAGACTTTAAACCACTTGAATTTTAGCTTTATCAAAATGCATGATTTACTGTACATCAAACATAGTGATTTCAATGTTTAGTATCACAAAAATCAACACCCACAAGAACAAGACAGTCACTGCTATTAAAACAGTCTCAAGACAAATTCACAGATAATATTTACAGAACACAATAGGAATATTTTGATGACTATTTTATGTTGCAACATTTCAGATAAAATGATAAGAACCACGAGAAACTTCTAGACTTCATTTTGGTTTCAGCACAGAAGCCCGAGCTGACTCTCTGCTGTGAAATACTGCGCACATCTAGTCAAAGAAGAGTTATGGCATGATTTTGTTCAGCTGGTCTGTGCTCACATAGCCACAAGACGTGTTGAATTCCTTGTCTGGCACAGGCAGTGCGGTTGCATTGAGCACAAGGCCTTGTGGAGAGTGAACGATATGAATAGATGTATAGTCTGGGACAGGCATCTCTGAACTTGGGTTTTCTGCTGCTGAAGCTCCAAGATTGATACCAGCAGTGGTAAGGCTCTCGGTGGTGAAGTAAGCATCCTCATTATAGCTTTGCTCCTGAACACGTGGCTCATCCTCTTCCTGGGACATCACAGCAATACATTTTTTCACATCTGCCTCACAGAAGTAGGCATTGTCCATGGTGAAGTTTTGTTCTGTGCAGCCTTCACATGGAGCTCTCCCCATCTTGTATTTCTGCCCTGGTGAAAGTACAACTCTGCCTGCTGGGGTAATATCACTCACTTGCGCATAAAAGTCAGTACTTGTCAATGAGTTCTGGTTACTTAGCTGGGTATGGACCGATGGACTAGCTGAATCAATGCTGTCTGAAAAAGGTGGCCATGGCTGGCTATTTTCAGACTGGGCACTCCTATGCAGATGTTGGATGCCTGTGTCGGCAAGGCTTGCAAATGACTCATCTTTTCTATCAAGGCACAAGAGATCCTCTTCTTTTTCAGTTACCTTTTTGAACTGATCAATATCAGAGATGGCATCACACGTGTCGCTTGCACTGAAGTCTGTCTCCGGAATATCTGGTTCACAACAACTGGCCCGTCCAGAATCATCATCCTTTGCTCCCAAGCAACTGTGTGATTTCAGATGATCTTCACTCAGGAGCCTGTCGGTATCTGAGGCTCTATTCTTTTCATCAGGATCTTCTATGTCCAACTCAATAAACTCAACCCACAAGTCGTCATTGTAAAGCTGTATCTTGTAGTTGTCATGGCTGGCTAAGATGGAGTTCACTTCATCTAGCTTTCCTTTCTACAAAGCAAGAAAAAAATGAGTATTTATAAAGGAAAAAAAAAATGCTCATGCTTTTTATGACATTAACTTAAAGATAACTGTAGCTGACAGAATAGTTGCAAGATTTTTTTTTTTATTATTTAATGAAAACTAGTTCTCCCCTCAACTCCCCCCACGTCATAACTTTTTCCTACAAAATTGTTCTGTCTGAGGTAACAATTGTCACCTGCTACTACTATAGTGATCCCCACTGTAGATTTCAAGCACAGTATTACCTTCAAGAGGTCTGGGTCAATCCCTTTGATCTTTGGAACTGGCACAGGAGGAAAAATAAGCATTTTTAACCTGGAAAAAAGAAATGACAGCTTTTAATTGACAGTGACCCTTTTTGAGAAAGTTAGAAAGAAGAGAGCTTTAAATTGCATTACTGAATTACTTCAAAACTGACATATTTGAAGATTCAATTTCAAATAGTCCTAAGGAAAAGAATGATTGTTTTATCTCATTGCAAATAAAACCCCATGTTTTCTGCAACCTTCCTTGTTGAAAACACATACATCTATGTGGGAGTCCATTTTGGAGTCCAGTCTTTGGTATTTTAATGCTGCATAGAAAGAAAGCAAACTCCTGGAGCTCTGTCGATAGTTTCCCTTTTTACATAATTTTGAAAGGAACCTGATACTCACTGTGCAGACTGACTTCTCCCAATTATTTTTTCAGGGACACAGTATAGTGTCTTGCAGAAGCCAAACAAATTTAAACAGAGGGTCAGAAAAATGGAGTTGGTGGTGAATTGCCTTAGAAATAATAAATAAAACAGAAACACAACTGCAAAAATTTAAGCTAGTGTTTTGCCCTCTTTATGACATTTCTGTTTTCTGAATTCTTAACATAACAAATAATATACAATAATGATAGGGTTTTACCCTTGGGGAAAAAGGACTAGTACCTTGCTTATGCGTTTACATACTGTGGAAATAAATATTGTCCTAACCCTTCATAAAGTGAATTTCTAATTCTATGGGGGGGGGGGGGGGAAACTCTTAATAAAGGGA